TGTGTGTGTGTGTGTGTGTGTGTGTGTGTGTCTCAGCTAGAAAGACAGAATAGTCTACTTGAAGAGAAAATCCTTTCAATAAGGGTCAGATTTAATTAAAATAGTAATCTGGACAGATCACCTATGATTTACACTTCAGGAAAAAACACAGATCCTTAAAAAATTAATCACGGGATTAACAGCAAACAAGATTGTAACACAAGCAGAATTTCTTTGTAGTGTTTTAGTGTCTATTTACACACAGACAAGTATTAAAGAAAGGATCCCCCAAACACATGCCAGGTCTTATAGTTAATGTTGCTTATGAATCAATGCTTAAAGTCTGCCACTTTTCTTTCTTAATCAAGGTGATCTCTCCCCCATCCACTGAAAACTTCTGTAATTGAGAACTGGTCTTCATCCCTCAGCTTCTATACTTCTAAAATCTATTAGCTTCCTTATTTTTCTTATTCTCAAGATCATGCACCAATAAGATGAAAGTTCTCCAATTTAATAATGGGTTTTTTTCGTATTCAAGTATCTCTGTGCACTCTTGATGAATGTTTAATGTCTGGTCTCCTGAAGTTTGTATTCTTGCTTCTCCACCATAGAAAAAGGCCTGTATTTCCAGCCTTACCTTCAAGTGTCTCTATATTAGATAATTAAGGTGAAATTTTCGTTTGTTTCTATGATTTTGCTTCTTTATGCAAGCTGTATTCTCACCTGGAAGTTGTGATCTCTGTTTTCCTCACCTGTTTCCATCTATAAACATATATCCATGAAATCTTCCCAATATTATTCTCCTTTTCTTGAATTGTGTAAGTAATCCTCTTATCTATTTGATTGTCTGTTTCTTGAGAGTGCATCTTTTACATTTTCTATTAAAAAGAATATTACTTTGCATATAGAAAGTGCTGCATAAATATTTAAATTAGGTAACTTCACTTCCAAAATACAAACACAAAAAAAGCAGAGACAACCTTATGTTTACAAGAGCAATGTAGTCAATGGTGTTTGAAAAGTCCATTTGGAATGTCTTTAATAAAGACTTGTTAATGGTTTTTGCAGCTTCTTTGTGGCACGATAAGGCCTCCCTAGCAGTAAAAGGCAAAGAATGGCTAACAGACAATACCAATTAGAGCTGACCTTCATACAATAAGATACTAAGTAGCTGAATAAATTTAATGATTAAAAAATACTTGGTCAGAGATAATATTTATAATATGTGTAATGGGACAAATTCTAAATTATTAAAGCATCAATTGGGTCTCTTTGATCCTGGTGCTGAGACCAATGAAATGGTTGTGGATGTGGCTTCTTTCTCCAACAAAGTTTACAAGACTGAGAATAAGCACTCATATAGAATTTGGATCATTGTAATGCCTATATTTATTCTTTCGCTGTGTTTATTCAAATACTAGGTGTTAGTTTCAATTTTACTCAAACGAATCATATGCTTTTCTATTATAGAGTCGAAGTATAGAATGTATTTAGTCTTAATATATTGACTTGATACACAATTTCACCTTTTTATTTATGGGCTCCATGGTGTGAGAATACTCTCAGCCATTCTTTTTGATCTTGAGACATTGTCAAGAAAGCAGTCCTCAGGTTGGGGTTGTGGCTCAGTGGTAGAGCTCTTGCTTAGAACATGTGAGGCACTGGGTTTGATTCTCAGCACCCTATATAAATGAATAAATAAAAAATAACTGTCCATCAATAACTAAAAAAATAAAAATAAAAAGCAGTCCTCAATTTTGTCCTTGTTCTTAAGGAAAGATGTGGCTTGTTTTATGACTACATAGATATCTGAATATGGGAACACACTAAAGGTGAAAAGCCCAGATGGTCACCTCTTTATTTACACATATTTACTGGGCTTTAATTCAGAATTGATCAGCTTTAAAAACATTATAATGAAATCTACCTTTACCTTAAAATAAAATGCATTCAAAGAATTGTCTGATTTTTTTTGCTTACATCAAAACTTTATATTTAGTGAGACTTCTGGGGAAAATATTCCCTTTCCCTACTGAATTCTCAGAAATATAATTATCTATTAAAACAACAACAACAACAACTCAACATTGTAGTAGTTGATTGCAAGTGAGCCTAATTTTGTCCATGCAGTTCAAGGATACATAAAATGTTACCATGTTATTGTAAATCTAAATGGAAAAACAATGTGCTAATCTCATTTCTCTTTCAGAAGTTTTGCATCCTGGACATATATTTAGAGGATACATCTACATGAATTAACATTTTTTAAAAAAATGATTCTACTAAATCCTTCTGCTTCAGTTATCTTTCTCATCTGTTATATCCACTGTTTTGGTATGAGTGTTAAAAACTTTTTTTTTTTCCATCCAGGATACACAAGTCCCAGTAAATTTAGACATAACTCACCTAGAAAAAGAGGAAGCTTTTTAAAACATATTTCCCAAAATGGTAAAATTAATACTTTAAAGAAGAAAGGAAGAAGGATTACATTGCCTCCCATTTGAAAAAAAGTTTTTTTTGATTTCTTGTAAAAAGTGTCTAAATGTACTTTGACCTTTTCATGCTAATTTTTAGAAATAATCAGTTTGTACACCTCTCTTTCTCATCTGAATATTTAAATAAAAACTGCTCAAAATAATAGCAGCTTTGAAAACAATGGGCTTATTTTTATGGTATATACAAGAAATATAAATAGAAAATCATCTTTTATATTTTCATCAGTTTTATTTTCACTTTTAAATACTGTCAACATTTGAAGTCTAGTTAATAAAACACCAATGAGAAAATCCAGGCTGTTTATATCAAGCATTTTATGTATTTTAAAATGTAGTCATGCTCAGATACAATTGAAAGAGCCCCAAAGTCAAAACTGCCCCATGATAATGAGCAGGCTATAGCTTAAAACATGTGAACTAGCCATAAAAAAATTTAATGAATTACTTTATTTCTTCATGGATACTTTATTTTTCATTTATCCAGAAATGAATGTGCAAGTTAGAATATCCACCAGTACTCGATGTTATAAACCTGAATGCATGAATAATCTACAAATGAATATATACACAGTCAAAGTTTAATTGGCTTTCCATTTTTTAAAAAAAGGCAGTCTCAGTGGATATTTGTCATTACTGTTCAATTCCTTCTTCTTTTCTCAGGGGTTTGTAAGCAAAGTGAAAAAAAAATCAGTTTTAGCCAGGTTAAAAATCCTATATGTTCCCAAAACAAGTATAACCATGCCAGAACCCCACTCACTGACCAAGTAGGAGAGGAAACTCACATTAAAATCTCAACTGTCAAATATGAAGGTGACATCAAAACTTTATATTTAATGAGACTTCTGGGGAAAATATTCCCTTTGATTTTCTACTCTTTTAAGGACTCAATCATAAAACTCTTCACTCTAATCTTGCTCTTGGCAATGGGAACACTTTTTAAAGTCTATCTTCTGGCTGACTGTGGTGTTTCTCCAGAATCTGGTTTTGGTGAATGAATATGGAGCTTGTATAAGAAATTGATATGCTAAATGACTTAGTGGGATATAATCATTGAAGCCTAACTTTAATTCCCTTCTTAACTAGAGACAGTTGGCAAGTATTGATAGTCTTTAAATATAGTGAGACTTTATCGGCACTTTTCCTACTGTTTTCTGAAGAAATTTAAAGAGCTCCCACACTCAAGTTCATTCAGGATGCCTCTGAAAAGCTCCACTTTTAACATGATTTTGAGGCTTGCCCCATTTTCTAGAAAAGAGAACAGAACCATTTATAATGTAGTTGTGAAACTGGACCAGAATCCGGGAGGTGGAAGAGGCAATATGTGACACAGGCCTTAAACTGTTTCCCAGATACGTATGGTCTAATAAATGTTAATACTACGTATTTAAGATCATACCCTCAATATGACTTGAAATCTAATTTTCTAAATAACTTTTAACCATTAAGAATACATGTAACCTCTCTTCCCTAATGCTTGTTAACTCAGGGACTGTAACACTCTTCTAGCACCTAAAGAAAACAATTATCTTTTCCTTTTGCATTGAATTGTAATGTGAGCAGATTTTAGCATTTCAGTGTTAACATCTTCATCCTTCATAAATATTATTAGACAGAAAATAAAATGGATAAGTGTAACATTTTTCCTGAATTTTTTTCATCTTGCTTATGAAAAAATTGATGTGACTATGTCCATCTAATTTTACAGATCCTCAGACTAAATGTAGCCAGAGTTTTGTTTAATATTGAATCAGGAAATGGACTGGATTAAATGACAGATACATACTGGCTATTTCATAAGTCACCTGTAATTGCCAACTAGCTTTTGATTTAACTATTTCAGATTGTATTCATAGATAATGATAACATTTTTCACTCCAAAAATTTATGCAACTACAAGTTGTCAATTCACAACAAATAACTTTTAAAAATAAATAAAACAGTGTCTTCTGGGGAATGAAAAATCTTGGAAATAAATTCAAAGAAATTATAAATTTGTTTTAACAAACTGCATCCCAAACAGTGCAGATAAATAAAAATCAAGAAAAAAAATCAAGTAAGCAATGTTTCTAGACAAAATAGTTATTAAACATTAGGCATTAGTCTCCCAATACAATGATAGTTATATTTAAACAAAATACATACTAAATTTATTTCATCTTTAAAATATGTATCACATAACTTATGAAGCTTTCAAAATCCTAACAAGATTTAATACTAATAAATTAATAATATACATAATAATATTTTAACATACTGGATCTGACAACTAATGAGTTTTCTGTAAATTTATGTAAATGAATTTAAAAGTAGTTATTTTATTTACCTATGAAGGCCTTAAAATAGTTATAATACTATTCAGATTTTAACCGTTGGATTCTCCCCATTTTAAGTTTGACCCTCTTATTACTGAAGTACAACAGATTACATCAGATTTAGCCAGATGTCTTATGATTTTTTGTTTAGAAATGGAATTTATAAGTAAAGATAACCAACCCAGTAAACCAGATTGAATAGTGCGAAAGCTGTTGGGAAAAATATTCGAGAGTAGGAGTCAATTTTCGCAATGCGTATGTGGATCCTTCCTTCCCTCCAAGATCCTGTTCTGCAGTCTTCAAAGCAGCAGAAGAAGCTGGCACAATCTTTACCCTCCAAACACTGATACCCATAATCATCTTCTCCTTGAGGCAGAGAAATGCTATTCATTGGAATCAGAGTGGATCCAGCATGGAGACCAGGGGATAGCTGACAAAATAATAAATTAGTTTTTGAGACAAAAAAAAAAAAAAAAAACAGAATAAAGAAGGATCAATTTGTGCCTCAAGAAAAACTCTGGGAGACTGATAAGCAATAGAAGTAATTATGATTTTCAAAAATTAAATATTTTCAATTTTAATGTAGTTTTAGATAACAATTTACATCACAACATGTAAATTTCCTTACTTTCCAGAGATTATGTACAATACAAATAACCCTAAAAGTATATTTTAAAATTTTAGAAAGTTGGTCCACCAAAATACTGTCAACATGAATTGAATACTAAAATTAGAATGAATCCTATATTTCTATTGTACATTAGACTAAAACATTTTCAATGCAATTTTTCTTTGTCATATCATGTGTTATTTATTTTTATAATAATAAAAGTAAATAACAAAGAAGGTCTTCCAAAAATGCAAAAGGCATAAGAAGTTGTGAATAGCAGAAAAAAAATTGAGAAATTGTAGTGAACAAGTGCAAAGCATCATATTTTGAAGTGATGAACACAAGCTAAAAACGTAGATTTGGGGGAAAAAATGGTGTTCAAAACCTGCTCATTCCACCACTCTACTTATCATAATAGTTGGAATTATTTGCACCTAATTTTTATGATAGCTGTGGTAAGTAAATTTCATAACTTATTGTAGAATGATCAGTGCTCCATCTTGCCTGGTAATAATAGTGACCACTATTATCAGGATTACTTGGGAGACATATCAAATTAACATTTTATGATTGCCAGTATCCAAATAATACTTAGAAGTGTTTTTAAAGTGTCATAAATCAGGAAATGTCAGAATACTATAGAGCATTAAGGCAAGCCCTTTAGAGTCAGACATAGACTAAAATTCTAGCCTGGTTGACAGATTTGTATAAACTTGAATTTCTCTCTAGCCTCAGCACCCAACAAAATATGTGAAACATAGCAAGTGTTCAAGTAGATAATAATTATTGTTTCTGTTACTGTTCTTTTCACCATTGACCCCTGACAAGGATATATTACAATCAAATACAGAATACATGATAAAACAGAAAAGTAATAAGCAATAATAACAAAACTCCTAAACTTAATCAAAAGAGTTCCTAGAAAAAACAAATTAATAAGCTATCAATAAAAAGGCATGGAAAATATACGTGAAGACAGTGGTTTCAGTTATTCATCCTTCAGAACTTCTGCCTGTTTCAAGGGTAATCTAATTTGTGAATCTAACAAATTATTAAAATCGGTGGTTTTATTATTTCAACACAATGTCATTTTATAATTTTTAACTTGATCTTAATTCTTTCTAATGTAAATGTTTATCAAAATTATTTTCAGTTTATTTTGGTATGGTGATGCACACCTATAATCTCAGCAGCTCAGGAGGTTGAGACGGGAGGATTGCGAGTTCAAAGCCAACCTCAGCAACTATAACTATAGCCATAACTATAGGAGGTAGAATATGGACACAGGAAGAAGGTGAAGTGCTAAGCAACTCAGTGAGACCCCTTCTCTAAATAAAATACAAAATAGAGCTGGGAATGTGGCTCAGTGTTCAAGTGCCCCTGAGTTCAATCCAGATTCCAAAAAGAAAAAACCCACAAATTATTTTCAGTTTGATCTTTGAAAAAGATAACTCCTAAAGTAAGACAAATTAAATACTTTATAGAAAAGGATTTACAAATTAAACAAAACAAAAAAGAATTCCTTAAATGTGGACCTATATTCAAAGCCATTCTACTTTGAAAAAGAAACAGAATTCAAGCCAGTAAATATTAAAAGTTCACTATATGCAGAATAAAGCAAACTATTGCATTTAGTGATACTTAAAAAATTTAAAAACATACATCACAATATCCATATTTGAATCAAAATATTCAGCTTAGGGATAAGAATCAAGGGCCTAAACACAAATAAATTCATGACTACACCTGGCTAGACACATTGTAAAAAACAGAGGTGGTTTTTATGTAATGTTAATGACAGCTCTTTTGAGGGTGGCACTTGGTGTACTTGAGTAGACTCTTTGTGGAGCACTAAAATTATATAAACAGTGAGACTAACTGATATTCATTTCTTTGTCACTTAATATTAAGTAGCATATTTTCATATGTTAATTAGTGAAAACTGATTAAAATACATTTTTTAAGCTGACACTTTTAAGGTTTATATGATTGAAGGCACATTTCACATATACCTATGTCACTCAGCATTGTCATATATAGAAATATGGTGTCAGAAGATATCAGTAGTGTATGGGAGGGATGATCAAGGATGAAAGTGCACAAAAATGGAGAAAAACTGCAAACAATTTAGTTTAAGAATGAACTAATCTTTGGTGGTCACTGTCATGGAGATTCTCTTGTAATGACACTTGGACAATTTTCTTGTTTCTTGCTGTTCCCTCCTTCCCTCCCTATAGAAAACCAAATTGATAAATTGAAAGAGACTGAAGTTCAATGGATGATGAAAGTGAACAGAAGTAGACTCTATCTAGGTGAAAAAAATACCAAAGATCTGACACGGTATCAATAAAATAAAATACTGCTGACACACAGACTTCTGGCTTGGAAACCACTGAAAGATTAATGGGAAGAATATATACATTCCCAACCACATCTTCTGAAGGACAATTACACTACCATGGCTGCCCTCCAAAACAACATAAAAATAAAAGTAAAAATAAAAGTAAATCAGCCAAAGTGATATAAAAATAAACAACATACTGGAACAAGATATTCTTTTACTATGATGATAGCTCAAAGGATATCCCGTGTTTTATTATTTTCACAACGTCCCTAAGATTTGAGTCAAACATAATTTTTAGAAATTCATCCCATTCCCACTACCAAAAATACATACATCAAGTGCTATTTTAATAATATATTATATCTAATAATATACTGAAATATGTAAAATAACATTTTAAGCACCAAGACGTACTAATGTGAAATATTAATAACTAGATAAATCATTTAAAGTATAAGTTACATTTGCTTGGTGTTCTGGTTTAGATATGAGGTATTCCCCCAAAAGCTCATGTGTGAGACATGAGGTGACTTACAGGGGTGAAATGGTTTCATTATGAGAGGAGAAAACTAACCAGTGGATTAATTCCCTGATGAATGAACTGAACAATAACTATAGCAGGTAGAATATGGACACAGCAAGAAGGTTATTGGGGGTGTGACTTGGGGGTTTATATTATTATTCCTGGGGAGCAGAGCTCTCTCCCTCTGCTTCCTAGCTGTCAAGCCCTCGGCTGCTTCCTATCCTATACACTTCTACTACTATGTTCTGCCTCACCTCAGGCTCAGCTATGGAGCAGACCCACCAGGGAATGAAATGTGGAAACAGTAAACCACAATAAATTGTTTTCCTCCTCTAAATTGTTCTTGTCAGGTATTTTGGTAACAGTGATGCAAAAGTTAACTAAAACATAAAGTTATGTATTTATTTAATTAGTATTTATACCATATGCTAACAACATGCATGCTATTCAATTAGTAATATAAATAGCAAATATTATTAGATGAATTTGTTAATGTTATGAAATACTAATATTTCTCATTAATTCCCTTTCTAAAGCACTATGCATGAGAATGTCAACCTAAGCACTGGTTTTCTCTACCTCTCTTTTATAAATTTTATTTAAGTATCTGCCAGAATGTTAAAAAAATTATGAAATCCACATCAATACTCAAAACAGGAGGTGGATTTTGGTGAAAAGAAATCAAAAAGTATATCTAAAGAAAAGGCATCTCAGAAATGTCAAGGAAATGGAAGTGTGCATGTGGAAGATGTTCTTTCCCATCAAAACACTAGAGATGCTCCCCATAAGGGAGAAAAAAATGGGATGCTAAATAAGATGAAAACATCTTATTAGCTAAATGCCTCCATTTCCTGATCAGTCACAGTGTTTTGAACCATAGCCCTTGTACTGTGCATGCCCAGAAGTCAGATGCTAACAGGTGGTGGTTTGCTCATTATGGGCACTCCATAACTTCTTAGAGTATAAAATAATAACCTTCCACCAGCTCGAGGAATTTAGAACTCCTGTGGAAGTGTTGGAATGTTCTAGTAATGCCCTCATTGTCCTAATATTTATCATTTAGAGAGTATGGGTGTATATTTGGAAGCAAAGAGATGGTATGCTCCCAAACACACAAGAAAATAAAATCTGACAACTAAGAACTTGACACTTAGATAATGCATTTGCAGGGTCTATTGGAGAATAATTATCAAGGACTTTTGAGATAAACCAACAATGCAAAAGGAAAAAAGTGCCGTGGAACAGTTAGAAGTACTGACTAATAATTCACTAAAGAAGAATAATAATTCTTGTAATTAGTTCACTCAGAAGTAATTGAGCTGATAAATCCATTTAAGAAGAAGCAAAGGGAGAACAGCTAGAAAATAAGACATCTAAGAAATTCAACATGCTTGGGTAAGTTTTAAAAACATTAAAAAAAAAATCAAAATAAAATCTTGAGAAAATTTCTCATCCTATATATAAAAAAAAAAAAATACCTCACTGAAAAAGGGGATTAAAAAAATCTGGAATGCACGGTTAATCCAGGAAACTTAAAAATATCTAACAATAGTTTTTTGAGGAGAAAATAGAAACCTCTATTTATATAGAACAAATTCTATTTTTATTATTATTTTTATTCTATTTTTATAGGAACAAAGACTCAAAAAAAATTCACAAAAATAGTAGAGGTTCTATTAAGTATTGAAGTAAACAAAAATACTGATATTTAAAAAATGTTTTAGGACTCGGAAGATGGTGGCGAATGGAGTGCATCACCCCCATGTACTGCGACACTGTGTGGGTGAATGATGAGTTAGAAGGGCCAAAAGCTATCTTGTTAGGAATTTCCAGCAAAATTGGGGTGCACTGAAACCTAGAAGAAGGATTTCCATCGCCCATGGATCGGTTACTGGGGCTCAACTGGGAGTGATTTGTCCGCCCAGAGATTCAAGCTGCTTATTCTGCAGCTTG